CCCCAAAACCCCAAAACCCCAAAACCCCAAAACCCCATCAAGTTTAATTGCCTTAATTAAATGATTAGAATTAATTTCAATCATTGATCAATCATTAAGTCTATTTTGAAGTCAGGATTATCACCTTATATTATGTAATCACAATACTATTCAATAATTCTTATATCCTGTAAAGATGACTATATCCTATTTCTCGAATTCAACATATCTAAATCTGCTTGAATAGTAGATTAATCCTTCTCCAAAAATTCTTTCAAACTTTTCTCTAAAGCAGGCTTGTTTAAATCTAATAAATATTTTATCTCCTTAAAGAATACAATTGCATCTTTTGTCAATCTAAAATCAAGTATCAAAAGCCTCTCTATAAAAACTTTGATATACTTTGGCTCTATATATTTGAAATCGTTTCTAATAGTGCTTGAAAATTGATTGCAAATGGAATTTATAATCTCAATTTGATTGTATCTCATTCTCGCTAGTGATGGCATCATTGAGCCGAAATGAAAGGGCTTTAAGCCCTTGAATCCACGGAATTTACCATCTTAATTGTAAAAAATGTCATTCAAGGTCATTTCATTAAAAGGAAACATGGATCTACTAAGTACATAGATTATTTTCTAGTAGTTTATCCTCGTTACTGATTCCACATCACTTGCTAATTATTTCCTATATTCTAAAAGTAAATTCTCATTTTTTTTCGATGGATTCTTTTTCATTAATTGATAGCATATGCTTGAGAAAAAATTAATGTCAATATATTCTTTGAATTTCATTAGAAAGTAACCACATTAGTCAAATAATTCAAGGTACTGATTAGCTATTGGTGTAATACCATTTAGAGAAGTTAGAATTTTCTCCATAAACCTTAATTCCTGTACTATTTTCTTTTTAATTAGTAATTGATCTTTATTCGAGTTAGGTGGTATTTAATCCCCTTTCCCTTCAGAATAAGTTTTGCTTTATTAACATCTTTAAATGTTGCTATCTAACTCATCTATCTTATATTTTAGAATTATTTAGTACAATTTTGAGATCTTTGAAAAATCAAAAAGCAGGTCGTCGAGTACACTAGGATCTTAAATTGATGTTTCTACTAAATCGGTCCCTTCATTTGAAATGATTGATGAGTCATTTAGTAATTCCTTATCAATTTCTTCCATTTCAGCTTATTATATTTCTTGCATTTATTTTGCTGAAAGCTACAAGGGATTGTGTAAATTGCCTTGATTTTCGAATTTATATGCTTAATAGATATCTATATCTCTTTCTAGAATTTCATCTTCAAGTTTATTTTTCTTTTATAAAAGACTAGGATGCTTAAAATGTACATAAAGCAAATGGCTACTTATCATTTCTAGGAATTTCCTCTATAAACATTAAGACTAATTATAAATTTACATTTTCTGGGCCTGCAATCCAATCTAAATTTTCATTATTTTGAGCTTTTTCTAGAAGTAAATCAAGATATCTAAACAATTCAATCAATAGTATATGACAAGTTTCTTTAATCTGATAGAATTCCTGTTTGATCTTGAATGGAGAGTCAAATGTATTGAAAAGCAAAAAGAAATTACTATTTTTTGCTAATTATTCAATATTAAATTAATCATCAATGTTTTCATTTTACTAAATGCCTATTTAATTATTGCTTGGCTATTGGTTTTTATAATCATCCTTAATAGTTACTTCTTATGATATTTAATTTGATTTTTAGTCCTAGTATTATTTATAATGAAAATTAATTGAGTAATCTTGCAGACAGTACTTAAGGGATCTTCTCAATTCATATCCAGCTAGGAGTCGATACAATTATTCATCGTACTTAGTAATGCTAGTAATTTTCTTGATGATATTAATATGAGTTTAAATCTTTTCCTCACATGTAATATGCTTATTAGCACCTAAAGTTTTGTTTGCAAAATACGCATATTTCATAAAATCAATTGAGGAGTACTAAACTGATTTTTTTGATTCTCTCAAAGATTGGGAATCTAATCCATCTTTGCTAACTGGTATGTAATCATCTTGGTTAATAGGTGTTTTTTAATTGTTTATGCTTTTATTTTCACTCAAAGTATCTGGACTAAAAGCAAGAAAGTTATTAATGAATGATAAATAATCCTTTTAAAAAGGGGTTTTGTATGGAAATACTTACCTTTCAATTTCTAATAATTTGCTCTTCATTTCAACGTCCTCATTCTGATCTTTTTATTGCTCTTTCTTTGGTATGAACATTAAATAAGGCACATTTCCAAAATCTAAAGCTTTTTCTTTATTTACTTTAGACTTAACACTAGAAATTGATTTCTTCTTAGTCTTAAATACATTTTAACTGCTTTCATTTTTATCTAATTGTTCCTGATCCATTTTATTTAATGGAAGTTTTTTTTCATTCACAGAGTTAATTGATTTCTATACTTTATCAGGTAATTTTTTATCCTTTGGAAATATATCATTGTTTTATTTCTTTTCATCCTTACTCTTTTTTCTAATATATTTAGTTGTCTTTTAATTTTCAATTACTTTAGAGCTAGATTCATCTTTATTTTTAAGTTATTAATTGATGATGGCAGCATTTTTAAATGATTGTTGATTTTTAGGATAAGTTTTCGACTCTGAGGGGCTGAATAATTTCTTACTATTAAACATATCTGATTGCATCTTGTTCATTCCTTTCTCATAAGTGTTTTTGATGATAACCTTTTTGATGAAATTAAGTGAATCACTAGACTCACTCATTTCTTCCTTGGTATTCTATGCCCTATTCTCCTTAGAAATTTTAGTTGCGAACAGTCTCGACTAATTTAATTAGGTTGACCTCTAGACTACATTTTAATAAGTTATATAGCATTGAAGATTTTACTATATGAGTAAAGAAAGTATTTTTGTCTGGGAAATAATCTCATTTGACTTATTGTTTATAAATTATTATAGCAATTTTATTATTCATACAATATGCATTTGCTTTAAATCAACTTTCTTACTGGGGTTTTGGGGTTTTGGGG